AAGGAATGCATTCTTCACATCCAATTGTATTTATCTCAGACCCTTCATGCTTCCCTTTCTACTTGTTCCCCTATCTCTACCCTTTTGCCACTAAACTGCTTATCCTCCTCCACATCTGTCTTGAACCTCTCTGCTTCAGTCAATTTCTTCTGCCTTCCTTTATCATCCACCTTATTCTTTCTTGAGAAGACCTTTATCTCATCTGGGTTTTTCATTTTACAACCCAATTTCTCCACAACGCAGCCACCAAGTCATCTCCTTTCTTCTCTAGTGTCTTAGGTGGATTCTCAATCATTGTTACAAGCCTTGCCGAATTGGTTTCCCTTCCCCCAACCCCATAATTCTGCTTCTGTAATTCAACTTTATTAAGATCCTCCAATAAAATCTCACCCCTTTCCTCTAAATTTCCATTCCTCACCTTCCCTTCCCCCGCTTCTCACTAACCCCACTTTCAAGGACTCGCTGGCCAAGAGCCTCCTTGGAAACTAGAATACAACCTACAAACAAAGAGTAAGGATTAGTATCCAAAACTGAAAGGGCACAAGTACCTGGTTCTGAGGATGGAGGCTTCTCAGCAATATTGCACTGGACTACCAACTTTTCCAATTCAGATCTAGAAGTTCACTATTCACCTCATTTTGGGCGGTATCTGGGCAGACCTATACTTGACTTTTCCTTCTGATCACTCCCACAACCCCCTTTCATATCCCCGACTGGTAGTTCCCTATTCAGTCTAAGATAATTCACCACTAATCACTTATGGACACCATGCCTAGGAGAAGAATTTAGTACCAGTATCTTTGTGTGGACTTCGGTTTCCATCCCCCACCTCCTTAAACTTCCACCATATTTACACACAAATCCAAGGCTTGTGTACCCTTTCCTTCGTCTAAAAACAAAGAGGCTAAGTTAATTTGGTCCTCTTGTTTCTCTAAGGAACCAACCAACATCTTCCATACTTCCAACAGCTCAACATCTGAATCTGAAATGTCATCGTCTTCCTTCTCGCAGTTCACCCAACCTTTATCCTCATCCCCCTTTTCCTCCGACCTGTTCCTCTCATACCTAGGATTAGAAGTTAGGACAATCAAACACTAAGCTAACTGAACTGACCTACACAGCCTCCGACCTTGGAGTCCACTGCAAAGCACACTGTTTTTTTGAACTGTTTAAACTTCTTTTGATGGTATCAATAGGGGATGATAATACACCCTTATTTTGGTCCCTAATCGGACGCCCCCCTAGTTATCACATGTGACCCTTTAATGTGTCAAATGGCTCCTTAAGAACTACCTCGCTGGGCCACTGGGGTTCTTTAGTGAGTCACTAAACCAGTCCTCATTTCTCCTACTCGGTTCCAAAGTAGTGTCTGACCCTTTACCTTCCGTTCTCTAGAGTGGACCCCACCTAGGATCTGAGGTTCCACCCTTAGAGACGATCCGAGCAAAGGTTAAACTACGCTAAATTCCCGTTTTATTTTCAAATTTTTTGAAACATTGTTTCTTTCCCAAGTCTGCCTCGGCTCAGCCCCTATTATAGGACTCTTCATTTTCCCCATTCCTCTCACCGTTCTTTTCATTTTCTTTCACCTCCTCCCTTACTCCACGTAAGCTGATACCTGCCAGGTCATCTTTGTCTACATTTCGACCCCCATGCCAAAGCACCGCCTCTTGTTCTATGGTTACCCAGACTTTAGAGTTTAGACCACAGATTATCAGAGCAGATATCAATCAATCTAGGGACTTCATATGGATTTACTCTGGCAATCGTGATTTGATCACCCATAGATCATCGAAGACATAATCAATGATAACTCCAGCCATTGCTTTGACGATTTTCTCCAAAATCGATCGCTTCCAGAGGGTGAAAGGTAAGCCTAACAGTTTGATAGAGAAAGCACTGTCATCCAATTCCTTGCTATTACAGGAGAACGGCCAGTTCACAATTGAAACTAATCCGAAGTTAGTTACTATCGTTCTGAAGTCAACCAATTTCTCCCCTATTTCTAGCACCGTCCTTTTTTCATCAATGGGAGAATATGGACACCGTGTTTCTCTCAATTTTTCCAAAATAGTTTCCCTAACACAACTCCAATTGGTCACCTTCCTCCCAGCAGGCCAGCCTTAAGGATCAGTTTTTTCTCCCATAAACCCTTGCTTTAATCAAATACCAGTTTCCACACTTTATTGGAATTGGGCACAACAACATCTTGTGTATTTTCATCTTTTGGGCTCTCGTCGGAAAGCTCCACCTTATTACTAGGCTTTCTAACCAACTCCACCAATTTCTCTCTATCTTTTCGTTGTTGTTCATCAACCTTACACATACTGATCGCATCGGCTTCTTTATTCAAAAGAAAGCATTATAACTTCCCCACAACTATCTTCCACCCCTTTACTTGCTTTCCTTCAGGTCAACAGAATAATTGTTTCCTGTTTTGTCCAAAAATTCAGAGACCGCCAGAAACCACCCCTTTTGGTTCCTCTTCAACTCAACCAAATACTTCCTTCTTAGAATTTCCAAAACACCTTTCCATCCTTCCACCCTCACAGAGTGCAGCATTCCTTCGATGAAGCCTTTCACCCAGTAGAAAAATGGTCGCTTTTCCTTCTCTTATCTTCAATAATATTTGCCCCCTGCTCTTTCCTTCCTCCAACAGCAATCTCTTCACTTTTATCGCAAGTTCTTCTCTTCATCTGGAAGCTGGTACAAAATCTCCAACATTTCTTTTCTCCATCCTTCTTCAATTACCCCTTCTAGAGTTTACTGCAAGGGAGGCTTGTGAACATACAAAGGCAATGTATGCTGAATAGAAGTTCAATAAGAACTGACCTGTTGCAAATTGAAGAATTTAGAAGAGCTAGGGGCAGGCCAAAACAGAAATTTAATTGAAGAGAAATGATTAGAGGATTTAACAATGGTAATGGCACTGAACAGAGAAAAATGATGGAACATGATTTATAGAGCCAACTCCACAGTTGGGGCAAGGCTTTGTGGAGCCAAGTTGAATTGAAACTTGAAAGATAGTATGTTTACTTTATATTACATACTTTTTTTCATGTCATATCTTTCATATTATGTGTGTATATTCTGTTATGAACATGTATACAAGATGATTTCATAATTAACTGAGCAGTGAGCGCATATGTGATTGACTAGTCAAAAGTGCCAAGGTGATATATCTAGGCCCTGACTACGCATCAGGCCATATTTGGTGCTCAAGTTGTTGAGCCTCAATACAACTCCATCGTCTCCTCCCAGCTCTGCTACTGGTAAACTTACATCTGATATATGGTCCCAGGATTGAGTATATATAGGTGCTTTTCCTTTGTTACTTATCACTTATGAAGGGCATATACGACTGATCTTTCAATAACATTGCAGTGCAGCTGTCACAATAGGTCACTGCTACATGACCACTACATTGCCAACTTGGGAGATACAATGTCTATACATGACTGCAGCAGGTTATTTTGTCAACACGGAAGCTAATCAGTTTGGCTGGAAGTACTCATTAGCAATGGCTTCACTCTTCTCAACATATAAATTCCCTCTTCCAAGAAGACAGTATGGAACTACCTTCCCCTTTTTTTTTTTTGATGAATAATAGTAAGTTTATTGATTCAGAAGCAAATTAGAGTGAGTTCATACATCATCCCAGTGAGAGGCACGAGATGCAGCCCCTCCTTGAAACTTACAAGTAAACTAGGAAAGAAAAACAAGAATCACAACTGAGCCCAAAATAATTCTTCCCTATTTACCCCTTGCTTAGCTAACAC